TGATGTCCAACTTTGGTCACATGTATTTTTTTGGCCCGAAAGTTTCTAAAATAATAGTTCAAATCTTCTAATGGGGCATTAGCAAGGTATTTGAAAAATGTTGGTTGACAACCATTACAAACCCCTCCCATTTTCTTACTCTAATTAAAAAGATTGGGCACCATCACCCAAGGGACAAAAATAGACTGCAGTGCTTGACAGTGCTTGTCATCATAGCTTCCAAAGACATGGTTGTTCAGATGAAGTGAACTCATTGTTGCAGCTGCAAGCTATGGATAGCAAATTAATTTTTCTTGCTCTAACTGCCTTTAAACAAGAATTAATTATAGCAAATGTCTAGCTAAGAAATTGAGGATTCCACTTCATTTCTGTCATACACAGTAATTATTGTAATCCAATGCAGGTCAATCAATTTCTGACCAGTGAAGAAAGAAAGAATCTCTTTGTTGTTGTCCAGCTTATCTTTTGAGCATTGACATTTGCGTTGCATCTCAAGAGAATCAAATAGTTTTTGAACATTGCCTAGTTGCACAATGTGTGCTTGATGTTTTCAGTGAGCAATTGATGCAGACAATAAAATAGATCTTTATTGTCATTATGCTCAGAACAATGAAAGTTAAGCAGCAAGTTGAGTTTTGCTCTTGCCTGGTAGCCTTGATGACTCATGTCTGCAGGGATGCAGAGCAGCAGAGTGACTCAAACCAGTGTGCTTCACTCAAACTGTGAACCTCAACGTGTGCTTATTATACGTCAACAAGAAGCATCACACCTGCAGAGGCTGTCATCTTTGCCAACAGCCAAGTAAGACAGAAAACTTTAATTATAGGAAATGCTGCATGAAATGGCTGGACTGCTGGCAAATCTCTCTGCTCTGCATTCTGTCATCTGATATGTTAATGTAGGATGCAAACATTTTAATGATGCTTTTTCTCAAATTAGCGATAGATGAGTAAAGCACTGAACAATCTGCTGTCATGCTTTCTATCAGTAGCATTTTCAACAAGGCAGATTTGAGGACTGAAGTTTGTCTGCTTACCCCAGAAGAAATTATGATTGACGTGTCAACCCTGCTCATTACTGACCAACTGTGATGAGAAAGGAGAATCTCATGCCAAAATGCTGTGAAACTTCTATTCTATTATTACCAATTTGTTTCCTTTTTCAGAAGTCCTCGGTTGTATGAGACAATTCTAGCTCTGCAAAACAAGATCATGTTTTATGGTTCAGTAGTGTAAAATAGTGTGATGTACAGTGTGTGTGAATGCCGTTAAATCTGTGCATCCCTAGACTTCTCCACATGCTCTAAAGAGAATTGAACAAATGTTGTACTGTATCGTCATTTTGGGGGATGGAGTTTGTGGGGGCATTGAATTGTATTGATTTATAATGACAGTAGTTTCTATTATTGCTAAATCTGCATCAGTTTTAGCTGGGTGTACCTAATAAACTGGCAATTGGGTGTATTTAACACATATGCTGCACTCTGGGAACAGCCACACCAAGCAGGTGTGACCTGTAGGTTGGGGGTGATGGTGTAGATCTGAAGCTACAAAGACAATCTTGGCCTCCGGGGCAGCGGATACAAGAACACTGGGGGGAAAAGAGCAGCAGGATGTGAATTATATATCTGCACTCGCTGTTGTTTTCCTTGTCTAAGTCAGATACACTTAGTCCTGGACAATGACCTGTTATTACCCTGCTGTTATGGTACAGAAATCAGTTGCGAGGGACTTGTATTGTGCGATTAAAATCTTTGATATCACACAAATAGAATAATTATATGCCTATCTAATCATGTTCGTACTTTAAAAATATCATTTTGCAGTCGCTGGTGGTTGATTAGAGTCTTCCACGGTTCCACAGACTTTTCATAGAGGAATTGACTCTTTCCAACTATTAAGTGTGTTATATAAAAAAAAAGAAAAATTGAAATATGTGTGTGGGACAGGTAATGATTGTGCTTACAAAAGGAACAATGGGTGCTAATACTTAGTACTAGTACTAGTACTACGCTCTGAGTGAAATTATTGTACCTCTTGCCTGGAAAATTTACTGTGCCCGAGAGGCTACTCAGGAACAAGAGGGCCTGCAGCAATTTAGCTCAAGAGCATCCAGCATGACAGCTGTTAAATACAGAAATCATTTAAGATTACGTATTCTCCTGAAACCTGCAACTTTAGATTATTGGAACCATCTCTCTCTTTTGCTAAGGGACACACTGTTGCTAAAGGAGGTGACAATTAAATCTCTGCTTAATTGTTTAGCTTTGCCTGTTCATCTATTGTACCAATTTAGTATGTCTCCTATAGTATTTGGTGACATTATGAAGTTGTAGTGACCTATATCTTCTATACCATCTTAAATGGTCACAACTATGGTTCAACAACAAGTTAACAGTATTTTCATCCATATTTTCAACTGAAAGTCCGCAGAACTAAGTAATTACAGGTGGGTGACCGAAGCTATTGGTTGGCAAGACAACTAGATTTTTAATGTACACACACACAGCCATCCAGGTGAGTAGGAATGTATGAATGTGTAATTTTTAATCATTTTCTAATCTTTGGTATGATGTCTTCTTCACCTCCTAACCTGACAACAATATGAGATTTTCCTGGTGCAAAAACCGTCTCAGAAAAGAATACTGTATCACACAATTATTATTATTATTATTATTATTATTATTATTATTATTAGTTACAATGACCTATAAAGGAACCATCACCTTATCGCGGTGGAGAGGTTTGGGTGCTTCTATGAACCTGAGAGCTGTGTTGTTGGGAGCAACATGCTCCTGGTAGGGTCTCCCAAAGGCAAAGTGGTCTCAGGTGAGGGGCCAGACTAAGAATGGTTCACAGACCACTATGGAAAAGCATGGAAGATGCAAAGAGTCCTGGCCAGGAGGAAGTCCGGGGCCCCCGTCTGGAGCCAGGCCTGGAAGTGGGGCCCGAAAGAGAGCGCCTGGTGGCTGGGCTTGCCACGGAGCCCGGCCAGGCACAGCCCAGAGGAGTGACGTGGCCACATCTTCATCCTGCGGGCCCACCACTCATGGGTGAAACCATTGGGGTCGGGTGCGATGCCAAATGGGTGGCAGTAAAGGCAGGGGGCCTAGACAGACCAGACCCGGGCAGCAAAAGCTGGCTTTGGGGACGTGGAATGTCACTTTGTTGGGGGGGAAGGAGCCGGAACTGTGCTGCTTTGTGGATTTGGAGGGGGCATATGACCGGGTTCCCCAGGATATCCTGTGGGAAGTGCTGCGGGAGTATGGGGTAAGGGGGCCACTTCTCAGGGCCATCCAAGCCCTGTATTTCCAAGGCGAGAGTTGTGTCCGGATTCTTTGTCGTAAGTCGGACTCGTTTCCAGTGGGTGTTGGCCTCCGCCAGGGCTGCGCTTTGTCACCAATCCTGTTTGTGACTTTCATGGACAGGATATCGAGGCGTAGTCATGGGGGGGAGGGGTTGCAGTTTGGTGGGCTGAGGATTGCATCGTTGCTTTTTGCGAATGATGTGGTCCTGATGGCATCATTGGCCTGTGACCTTCAGCACTCACTGGATCGGTTTGCAGCTGAGTGTGCTGAGAGCGGCTGGGATGAGGATCAGCACCCCTAAATCGGAGGCCATGGTTCTCAGCAGGAAACCGGTGGATTGTCTACTCCAGGTAGGAAGTGAGTCCTTACCCCAAGTGAAGGAGTTCAGGGTTTTGTTCACGAGTGAGGGTAGAATGGAGCAGGAGATTGGCCGGAGAATTGGGGCAGCAGGTGCGGTATTGCGGTCCCTGAATGAAAAGGGAGTTGAGCCGGAAGGCCAAACTAGCGATCTACCGGTCGATCTTTGTTCCTACCCTCACCTATGGTCATGAGAGATGGGTCGTGACCGAAAGAACGAGATCCCGGGTACAAGCGACCGAAATGGGTTTCCTCAGGAGGGTGGCCGGCGTCTCCCTTAGGGATAGGGTGAGAAGCTTGGACATCCGCGAGGGACTCGGAGTAGAGCCGCTTCTCCTTTGCGTCGAAAGGAGCCAGCTTAGATGGTTCGGGCATCTGATGAGGATGCCTCCAGGGCGCGTTCCTGGCACGTCCAGCTGGGAGGAGGCCACGGGGCAGACCGAGGACCAGGTGGAGAGATTATATCTCAATACTGGCCTGGGAATGCCTCGGGATCCCCCAGTCAGAGTTGGCCGAAGTGGCCAGGGAAAGGGAAGTTTGGGGTCCTCTGCTGAACTTGCTACCCCCGCGACCCGACCCCGGATAAGTGGATGAAGATGAATGAATGAATAAAGGAATGATAAGTGTTTTTTTTTGGTTGAACAAATACTCTTAACTTCACATACTTCACAAAATATTATGTCCTGTATATTTTACACTAAGGTAGAATTCAATATAATATAATTTTTAAATATTTTTTACAGTAGAAGTCAATACTGTAGATAAGAAATTTACACTGTATGATAACGATGTTCCAACATACAGATGGATATATGAGGAATATATGGCCTAGAAACACTACAGGTGCTAGCTATAAATCAGTCAGTTTGGACTACTTGAGATGCAGTGTTGCACTGCACAGTGGGATGGGAAACGGGCCCAGAGAGCCAACTGGTTTTAATGACCTGAAAGCTTACTTCTAATGGGCTGATTGGATTTACTATTGATTATATTTTCAGTGCATGCTGTGGCATAGTTTTGTGATTGCTATTGTCACCCACTGCAAATTGAACTAGCCAACAGACAAGTAATGGGAACATTAATTTCTCTCGAACAAAATTAGAGATCCCCATTTACTTATCTGCGCCCATTACATTTAACCAAAATTAGAGGAGTGTGATTGTTTTCTCCCGGATGACAAATACATTTACTTATGCATACCAAGTACACACACATACACACTCACACACACACACAGACATAACGTATTCACAGGAGACCCAATCAATATACCTCGTCATTGATTGAGTGCTTTCCATTGACCAAGTACCTTCTCTGCTATTAAGTATAGACTCACTTGTGCATTTTTTGATGCCAGATCCTTTCTTCACCGCATGCCGACTGAGCTTGCATTGGAAATTATTCTCCCAGAACTCTGCAAACCAGATATTCCTTCTGTTGTTCTCTAGTGTTCGGCTGATAAAGTAGCGATCAAAACCTGAAACAAATAGGACATTTTTACATTTGAACATGCTGGCTGCGGGTCAGGTTAAGGTCTCTGTTCATATAAAACCTTATATAAGCAAAATGTAAACTCTTCTTGGGTCTGGTCCTAGTGGATAACTTTGGTAATGTATCCATAGTGCATATTCTGTCATCTTTAGACAACTCTCACTCTACCAATTAAAAAATATGTGGCTCTGCATATACAATAATTGCATGAGACGAATATACCCAATTGGTACAGTATCAAATTGAATTGTATCAATATGAAAGATAAGTAACAGCAGTGACACAACACTTGATGTCCAATGTGACTGTAAGTGGGAGGAAACAGTAGACAGTAAAACATGTTAATGGCCTTTTGACCGATACCCATTATATATAATTTATGTTGAATGTAGAAGGGAGATATGATTAGTGGAGACAAACACAAGGGGAAAAACTATCAAGAAAAATAGGAATTGTGTTGTAAATACCTTTGATGGACTGTCGTTTGGGCAGGATGGTGACAGCACCTTCTGCCATTTCTTCCTGGTTCAGTATTGGGGAGATTTTGGAGCCCCAGCTGTCTGAACCTACCCAGATAAAATGGCCTGTTTGATTAGCCTTCTTAGCTGCCTGAAGGAGTCGCCTTGGGGATAGAGAGGGAGAGCAATGTATAATTGTATCATGTAATGTTGTGTTGTTGTGTTGTTTTCATTTATTTTCTGATATATTTCATGTACATATCACCAATGAAAGAAGTTTCCTATTTAAATGCACCCTAAAGACAAAGTAGATGTTATACAGGTAATTCCATGACAAGAATATTCTATTCTGAGTCTGGACAAAGTTGCACTGAGGTACTTTAGTAGAATTGAAAAGCCACCATAGACACACTATCCATTCCCTGTGCAGTGTAGTTCTTTTTGGCCCTGGCAGAATGACACCCTTGCCACATTTGTCCAGGCTTGTTGCCAGTGGAAGTAAGTTTGGGGAGTTGTAAAAAACTGCCAGCAAGCTCTGCTGTAGCAGCAGACCTACATCAAGAAAGCTTGAGCACAGCAACATAAAATTTAAACACAGCCACCTGCCATCTGAAGTATTAATGACCTTCATATCGCCCCAAAGATGCTAGAAAAAAATGATAATATCAAGCATCATACTGTACTGTAGACATAAGGTTTTTTGCTGTCTTAAAATCTCGTATAATACTTTGTTTTTGCCTAAAGAAGGACGGTATAACCTTAAAACCGTAAAATAATTACTACACTTTTTTGTAAAAAATCTGTGTGGAGTGGGAAAGCAGTGAGTCATCCAACTAACGTTATGTCTCTTTACCTTAGTTTTATGACCCTAAGGATTTATGTTTGATTGGTAATGATTTTCCTTGAGTCTGGTCTCCAAAATTGCAGTGAAATGAGCATGTCTTAAGATGCAATTATGTGCTCTATGTTGGAAAAATGAGAGAAATAGATTTTCTCACCATCAGGAGATTACATAATGGAGACATGACTAGATAGGCTGTCAAGTCTGATATGAAAATAACACAGTGAGAAGTAAAGGTGTTGTATCTGGGTTGTGGTTAGGCGTGTACATTTCCATTAAACTTTGACAACCAAGGGTCTGTTCCACACTTATATTAAGTTCTTTAAAGTTGTTTTAAATACTGTGAAAAGTTTCAGTTGATATATAAATAAGAATGATACATCTAATAAGTGTTATTGTAAAATAATTAGGAGGAGAAACTAAATGTTTACATAACTGAAGTGCAGAATACAAGATGATTTAATTAAATGTACTTATATTTTTTTTATTTTTAAGAGTTTGTAAAAATGAAACAGTATCCTGTTGTTCCACAGAGCAAACAGCAAATGACAAACCTACCTACCTGGATAGATTATGAAAAGCTAACTAAACATTATTTCTCTTATTTTGAGGTGAGGCACTATATTTATATAATTGGTCTCACATTATAAGGCTCCATCAAGACAGCTCAAGTCTTTCATACTTTCTATGTTGACAATATTGGGTACTTATTAGGCTGCTGCCAGCTCACACTTGCTAGGTTCAAGGATAGAGCAGGCATGCAGTGCTAAAATCCCTCTGGCTTTCTGTAATTACTATATATCCAGACTATTACCCGTTATCAGGACCGGATTAAGTCAATGAGCACTGGGACTTCTGCCCTGGTCATCATCAAGAGACGTCCCGAATCACTGCCCACTTCCACCAGGAATACACTGGCCTACTAACTGGTTGCTGGGAAACATTTTCCCTTACAAAGCCACAACAGAGCTGTGTGTGTGTGTGTGTGTGTGTGTGTGTGTGTTGATTCAGCCTACAACTAATTAATTCATTCTTAATACAGACTCTCTGTCATAATAAGGGATAATTAATTTTAAGTGATACACTTGTGTCCCCAAATGGAAAGCAGGGACACTGTTAACTGTACTTTCATACGGTTTAGTATGGTCAGAACAGATAGGGACAACAGACTAGATGTCAAATTGGATGACAATTAATTTCCACCACCGGGGAGCAGTTATTTGCAGGGCTGTTGCATTGTGATGCATTAAATCATGCCATTTCTTGGTGTCTTAATGTGTAAAACTGCTTCACTTGCCTGTAATATACCTGACAAGGATTAAAAAATGTGAATAGACCCAAATATAATCATATTTGCCATTAAATCTCTAGATATGAAAATGTGGGTAGTAGACTGTATTTTACAAGGAAATGGCAATTTAATGTATTTATACACACACAAGACATTTGTGACATTTTAATGCCAGCTGCAAAGCCATCCCCAGGTAATGACATTACTAAACAACTTTAGACAGATTTTGAAAAGTCTTTTTCATTTTAGGAACTAGCAGGGTACTGTTATAAAGGAAGTATCAGTCAGTGGTTAAAAGCGGTTGAGATAAGACACTCACCTGATATCATCCTCATTGGCAAATATAATGACTACTCGGGCATTCGGGTTCTCACTCAGCCTACGAATGATCTTGTCAAACTCTCCAGATCTTGGTTCACGTGGTATTTTCACAGACTGGGAGATGCACAGACCACCTAATTGGAAGATAAAAGAGAAAAGTTTCCCAATTAAACAGGTTTAACTTTTATTCTGTAAAACGTCTGAATGGAACAGACATTTTACCGTCAAGTGCCATAATTGTTGCTGCTGTTTCAGGCGTGTCTTTTTCAAACTCTTGGTCACCAGAAACATTTGCTGGAGTGTAGAAATGTTCCTTCTTTCTTTTAACCCACACAAATCTTTTTCAAACCTCTGGACTTTTTTTAATGATAGATGCACTATTAAATGAGTGCAGGTGCAATATTTCACAGCATGAGGGATGCAAGGTTTTAAAAAACATCTTTCCTTGGACCACAAGGGGCAACTTTGAGACATGGAGACCCATCAATTCAGTTTATGGTCCTGCCAGTGAGGCCATGGGAATTGGGTAGCATTTGGGAGTACATAAATTTTGTAATTGAAAACTGGTTTCATTTGTTCAGAGTCATTTGTCTTACATTGGTTGTTTCTTTTTGTTCAACTTATAAACTACTGTTTGCTAAACTTCTTCTAAATTGAGGTTCTTGCCTGAAGATTGACATCTTTAAAATAGAGACCCAACCAGTGAATTACATGCTAGTTAACAAAAGTATTGTCTAGTGAAATTGATTACTTTTAGTTTATCGTGTTAGGCACTGGCCAGCACAATACCTACAACCACAGTAATTCCCCAAAGATCAGTTTAAAGAGAGTCCTTAACCACTTAGAAATGCTCTGGTATTGAACACAAGTCTAAAGGCAGCAGGGGACGTTCCCTGGTTACCAACAAGCCAAGGCTTTTTAATTCCCATTGCAACATTTCAGGATAACTCCTTTGTCGTCCTGCCAAAATGCCACAGAGAGTATGTGCATGCTAATGAATTTCCCTTTCGTGACACAGTACAAAGCTGGCCCAATGAACAATCAATGCAGGAATAATACCCTCTAGTTCAGTTCATGGCAGCCAGACTCACACCATAAAACAAAGCCTGGCCCCAGCTCAGAAACTAATAGGTTTGGAAACTGGAAATATGACTAAAGAATAGTGGATGCCATTAAATTAACAATGATGTTGGTCTGCTTTGCTCATGGGAACAAAAAGTCACTTCCGGTTAAGTCACAGAGGGGCTTCAGTCAGTGGCCCGCACTATTGTCCTGATTGTACACTGTGGATGAATTTAATGATGTTTCCATTTTCTTGAAACCCAGGGTTTTTCAGAAAGGCTGCGTGTATACTGTAGGTTTCCTGTGGTCATGCATGTCACAGCTAGAACACAACAAATCTGGCTCATACATTCACTTGGTTGGTTAATGGATAAACAGTACCCTTCACTGGAGGAATGGACTCATTCTTTTTTGTGTGCTGGCCCTTGTCTGCTGTTGTGGGATTTCTCTTTCTGCACTCAGGCAAGAATATCACCCTTAACACAGATTTCAGAGCCATCAAGAGTCTTTCAGTGGTTCCAACATAGATATTACTTAATGAACTGGGGCCATATTATAAACAATACATATTAACAGAAATCACTTCACACACAGACCAGTTGTACATGTTTTATTTTAAGCATTACCTGCAGGTGATATGATAAAGTGGAGATGGAAAAGTAAGGTGAAAAGATAATTAAGTATGTTACTCTTTTTTGAGTTTACAGTATTCTATAAAATGTCAGTCAAAGGGGCATTTATAAACTTCTTTAACTCAATTTCATCACTGCTTTGTTTTACACTGTAGATATTTTATTTTCCTTTGATTTTATCGTTATTGTAAAAGTGTGTTTCAGGATGACAGCAAGTAATTTATAACTTCTCTTATGCTTAATGATAATTAAAAAATGAATGTTCAATGTACATTTGACATATTAATGACACTATAAATAGCCAGAGCTGTATATGTGGTCATGACTAAGGGCTGCTGTGTTGTTGGAGCACCGCTAATGCAACACAGTCTCTGAAATTGAAATCTCTTTGCTTTTCAAGTGCAAAGACTTATAAATCATTGGTATCCAAATTATATGTTAAGGGAATGCATATGTCTTTGGGAGAGGAGATGAGGCTCATGCATGTACTGCCAGTTCCTCAGTGATTGAGATTTATAAAACATAATGCGTATGCACGGCTTCATAAATTTGAAAAAAAGAAGACGTGTTTTTTTTCGTGTTTTTGCGTTTTTCTCTAGTTTTATAAGTCTGGCCACATGTGTTTTACTGAACAAGTCAAACTAAATATATGAAAGTATGCAACAAACCATATGCAAGTAAAGAATTTCACAGTTCACAATATTTGTGTACCTTTCTTTTATCTACGTGCTCCTGATTGTTGAGGCTTTCATTAAACTGAAGCAGGGGTTTATCTGTCTACCTCACTGTGTCATTACACTTAAACTACCCAGACAGACACATGGGAAATTTAGCACCAGCATAGCAGCAGCTCTCTGCTCTCAGAGACTCAATCAATCATTAGATTCTATGTCTTCGCCTCACTGGTACTTCAGTCCCCCATTCCCCCAACATCTGCTGTGTAGAAGCAGAGCACTCATCCTTTCCTTTTCTTCTCCTCTCACATCACCAGAAGCAGGACGCAGCATTGCTTAACCTCCAGAGAGAATACCAAGAGGACTAGGGGGATAAGAACCCAGCCTGTGGGAGTTGAGGCACGCTGAACAGGGCCCTCCACGGGGCCAGTTTTGTAACTCTGTTAGTTGTAGAGTAGACACGGCAATTTGTTTTATTGCTAACACTATCCATTCATCCATGCATCTGTCCATCTATTCCTCTACAGTAGAGGATGGTCAAAGATATGGTCCCTTGACTCAAGGACCCAATTCAAACTCCATGACAGGGAGCAGTTACTGAACAAGGCACTCAATGCTGACCTGCTCCAAGTATGAATTTCTATTTTCTGTTCTGCAGCTAATCCTATACTTTCACACCATTGTTGTCATTACACACAAATGTAATGTATACAACAATATTTTCTTTCTTGTTTGCATGCTGAAATCTCTTTCACATGTTGATTCAGCTATGTAAAGCTGCTCTAAAATGACATTCATACAACCTAAGTGCCTTTTAATTGGTCCTGGTAATTATAGGTCTTGCTCATTAGATATTTTATATTAATTTTAGGTAATGAAACGGATCTCTTTAGAGGAATCAGATTTTCAATAAAACACTTTGCTAGATTCCATTTTGCCAAGGACAGGATGTAATTAGGGAGATAAAGTTAAAGACACCCCCTCCTCTTGTCTACACACTGCTTCTCATCAGACTTAAACTGAACGAGACCACCATCTCCAACCTAATGTTACTTTATAAACCTAAGTACATGGAGAAAGGCAGTTATAAAGTAATTAATTTAAAATGTTTAGTGGAGTTAAGTGTGTAGTACCCTGAAAAACCCTACCATTTCCCTTATTGTTTGAGTCTTCAGAGATAAACAGGTTCATCTGTTGATTAATTGTAGTTATACATCAAAATGACCGGATTAACATTCAGTGGCTTGTGTAAAAAACAACAACTAGGTTTTTGCTTCTGTCTTGCAAAGTGAAAAAATAAATAAATCTGAAAATGTTTCATTAAATGTAATTAAAATGTTCATGTTTAGCTAATTTGGCAATTTGCCTGATGACCTGTTGCAGTGTGGTGAAACCCAATAGATTATCTGTGCATACAAGTATAAGTGCAAAGTCAAATCTATGAATAAAGTGAAGCGGCTTTTATTCCATAGATTCTGCTGATAACTTCATGAGCAGTGTATTTCTCTCCCAACACTCATCCTATACCACTTTTAACATCTGAGCCATGTCTGAAAACCACCTCTAAAAATATCCGTTGCTGAGGAGACTGCGAGCCTCCTCTCCCATGTCTTCCATTGTCAGCCCCAGTCTCTGCTCTCCTAATAGCAGAACACTAATATTCCTTCTCATTTGACACCCGTGGGAGAGACTGTGCTTCCATAAACATTTAATATTCCCTGGTACTGTGGCTGATTTCTGCATCGCTCCTGTGCTTGGTAAGCAGTAGTGCAGAAGCACACAAAATACACCCAGGTGGGCGTTGTGGTGAAGGTGCAGGTATATAAATAGCTTGTGTATTGGGATGCCCTTAGTTGAAATACCAACACAAGCAGGCTTAATTTGCGGCTGGAGAACATTTCTAGTAACAAAAATACAGAGAACTACAACAACTAAACTGGCGGTCAATAAAATTCCATTGTTTTTGGCTTGAAAAATTGTCACTTTAACACTAAATGAAAACACTTTTCTGCTCCTTCTTTCCCCTGGCAGCAAAGGATTTATTAGTCAACAGTCATAATGAGTTAATAATTAAAAAGCCTGTTTGAGCTGCACAGAATTATTTTTAATTCCCATCTGCTTTAAATGGCCGTGTTGTTCCATCAATCCACTGATGGTGCCATATATACTGTCTGGCTGCCCTAATGCATAGTGGTGTGATCACAGTGGTTCACATTATAGAAATATTCTCAGATGAGACCAGAGTAATGAAAAATGTCAGGAACCACAACAAGGGGATGTGGATAGCACTAAATAGGGAGATAAATAATATTCCCCTCTGAGTTAGTAAACTGTATACCAAATGATTTATGCAAATCAGTTGATCAGAGGACTGTGATAAACTGGCAACACGTCCAATGTTTCTCTGCTTTTCATCCAATGCATGCTGGGACACGCTCAGGCCTCTGAAAGGGAGAGAAAATGGATGGGTGGTGGGAATTGATTTTAGGCAAGAAAACAACAGTACAGGTAAAATACTGACCATACCTCGTGGCAAAATGTTACCCTGTAAACTGCAGGAAGTGTGCTGTGTCTAAATAATGGTACATTATACAGATTGTGTTTTTCCGCTCCTATCAGAAATACAGCTGCAAGTGTGTGGGAGTAAAATACTGGAAGGAGGGAGAGTGGGCTGAAATCATTAGGGAAACTGACCCTGAACAGGAAAGGTCCAGGTTCAATCCCCTGTTCTAGAAAACCTCCCTGCTAAAGTGTCCCAGAGCAAGA